GCTACATTCAGCTGTGCCGAATCTATATCATTCACATAGTGTTAAACTTAGTTAGTTTGAGTTAGTTAGTTAGTTTGAAAGGAGGATGTATATACATCAAATCCGAAGAAATACACCTAGGCCTCTATCGGGCCTGTTGTGCGCTCCTTAACCAGTGCCTTAGGTGGGAATCGAACCCACCACCTCCGGTCTACCAGACTAGAACACTAACCACTAACCTACCGGAGGCCACAGTGTTAAACTTAAGATTTTTTTCTTTAATTTTTCCAAAAAAATCGCATTACGTTCATAAATGCTTTCCCATCTCTGTGACAAAGAAATAAATCCAAAACAACAAATACTAAACGTTGTTGTTTCCAGCTGTTTACTGTTTATTATAAACAAGCAAACACAACGTAAAAACGCCCAATCTGATCGAAATTTTCAGAGGTTGTCTTAGACTTTTGCTCATATCTCCGTTATTTATGAACCGATTTTGCTGATTTTAAGTAGGAAACTTCTCGAAAGCATGTCACATAGAATTATTGAAGACCAAGATCACAAATATCTGAGGTCTTCAGAAAATTGATTTCAAAACACACACAAACAGACGGATAGACAGACAAACGGACATGGTTTAATCGACTCCACTATCTATATCTAGGATCCAGAATATATACACTTTACAGGGTCGGAAAATTATATTGTAGAAATTACAAACGGAATACATCAGAAGTTTTCCAAAAGAGTTGAATATACTCAATGTATATTCAATTCTTTTGGACTTTTTTAATGACTGTAGATTCCTACATCTTATTGACCACGGATGCAACACCAGGTGTCGCAGTCAAGAAAGATGAGTATGGAAAGAGCACATTACCTGTTATGTTACTAACTATTATGAATAAACTTTAACTATACTAAACACTATAAATGTTATGAAAAGGAAAAAAATAATTAAGCAGTTTTTTATAAGTTCACAATGAACAATTTTTTATAATTATTTATCCTGCTGTCAAGCCCAAAGGCTTAAGGGATTTAGTACTTTTGTATGATTTCTTTAATAAATAAATTAATGAAATAAAAAAAAAACAAGTAAGAGTGCTATAATCGGCTGTGCCGAATCCTTTATACCCTTCACCATAGTGTATTTAAAAAATATCAATTTTATAAAATTTAAATTTATTTCATTTTCCCTACTATATCATAATTATAGCAATAGCAAAACAAAATAAACAACAACAACGCTAAGCGAAATAAACACACAAAAAACAAAACACACAAGGCAGAAAAACCAACAGACATACAAAAATACGAAACGAAATACACTAAGAAACAAAAACAATATACACAAGGCAATGAAACACACAGACATCCAAACATACGAAACTGAATACACCAAGAAACAACAACAACATACACATGGCAATGAAACACACAGCCATCAGAGATACAAGCCGATGCGAAATGATCGGCGGCGGCGGCGCAACCATTTTTGGTCGGCGGCGGCGGCTTATTACAGAAAATATCGGCGGCGGCTAAATTGTCGGCTCAATGTAACTTTTTCTTTAGAAATTGACCTTATAAGGTTTATTATATTGAAAAATCTTTGTATAATAGTCTGTTACATAGAAACCTGTCTCTATATAAGTTTTATTCTGCAGAAAATGGACATTTATAGTAGTTTTCACTATTTTAATATTAGCACAATATTGTGTGGCAACTCTTTTCAATTTGCCATAAGAATTTAAAATAGTGGCAACTCCGTTCAAATTGGTGAAATTATGTTCTGAAATACATGTGCGATTCTAATCTTTATCAGCGGCTACGTTTAAGCCGGCTTAGCTTTTGAGCCGAATGAAGTCGGCGGCGGCGCGGCTTGCAAAATATTATCGGCGGCCAGCCGCCGCCGATTTGAGCCGTCTCGGCTTGTATCTCTGTCAGCCATTCAAACATACGAAACAAAATAATCAGAAAAACAAAAACAAAATACACAACGCAATGAATAAGCAGTGTTGTTGTTGTTTATTTTTTATGAAATTTTCAGAGGATTTTTGCTTATATCTCCGTTGTTTATGGACGGATTTTGCTGATTTTAAATAGGAAACTTCTCGAAAGCATGTCTGATAGAATTATTGAAGATTTGGATCTCGAAGATATCTGGGGTCTTCAGAAAACTGATTTCAACAGACAGACGGACATGGCTTAATCGACTCCGCTATCTATAAGGATTCAGAATATATATACTTTATAGGGTCGGAAAATTATATTTTGGAAATTACAAACGGAATGACAAACTTATATATACCCTTCTCACGAAGGTGAAGGGTATAATAACCAAGAAGCATCTACTATCATTCTTAGAGTTTTAGATTGATAACGATGTAGAATTTCGATATTCGAATTACTCGCGGATCCCCACAACTGTATTCCTTATCTCCATAAGGGTTAGAGGATAGATAGTTTTGTAAAACATTAGTTTATTTTCCAAACCATGTTGTCGCAATTTTTAGAACTCTATTGTCAAAAACACAGTCTGTATTAACATGAAATTAAAAAAGGCGTAACAAAAATTAATCATTGGTACTCGCCAAAGAGCCCTAAAAAGCAACATTATAGATAATGGTTGGAGGGACTCTTGTATTATTATGTGTTTATTGATGTTAGTACATTCTTAATACATATAAGAAAATATAATTTTCATAACAATAATACTTTTAAAATTATTTAGTTTTTATCTTCTGTAAAATTTTTCAAAGTGTTGTTGTTTTTCTGTGTTAAAACCGTTATTTGGCGCCTAATGAAATAAGTAAGTACTTATTTAAGTAGTGATTTGTAAGCGAGCGTAGTAAGTACTTGGCTCCAAAGTCATCACCGTGATAAAATAATGAGTTAACTGTTAATTTTGAAAGTAGTATGGTTATAGTTGTTTTTTAAGTGATTTTGCATTTTAATGCTTTAAGAGTAACAGATGAAACTGGGCAATCCTTGCCTATATTATCGACTTGGACATCTCTGTATTATGCATTCTATGTATATTCTTGTTATTTTTCCTAACCTTTATTACATCCATACAAATGTGTGTATGTATGTGCTTTTAGTCATTTAAACTGAGAAGCTAGTGGCCAAAACTTAGTTGATTCGTGCTATGTTTTGCCAATGGTCACTGAAGACAATTCCTTTGGTGTTGAGTGTAAAATGTAAAAACAGACGTAAAAAACTTCACAAATTCAATTTGACTGTTGTTGGATGAAGGGAACAAGGATTATCACATATGAGGTGGTGCTATCATTCAAATCTTGCTGCCTGCCACGTTGTCCTTTTTGTCGTTTATTTTGCTGTTAATATTTATTTCTTGTTTGTGGAAAACTTTAAACTCATAAATAAGAAGAGAAAAACATCAGAAAAGAAAGAAATTAAAACAAATGAATAAATGTTGGATTTTTGTTTGTAATGCTTTATACATGAAGAAAAGTTTAAGTTTTGCAACTTGCCGCTGCAAAATGTTTTTTTTTTATTTTTTTATTTATTTATTTGTTAACTAATTTATGACCTCACAATGTAACCAGTTAAAGCATACAATACCAATTTTCAAAAATAGTCCCCCGCGCTAGAATTCAAACACAAGGATAACATAAATAGATTCACTCATATACCCACCACTAAATGATGCTGCAAATAAAAGGAAGCAACTGTGAAGAATTGTAAAACTGTAGAACTTCAAGTAACTGTGTGACTAAATAATTTTACACAGATAAATCTGGAAAATGAATGTTTATAGTTTTACTATACAACTGCGAAAGCACAAGGGACCAACAATACCATCATCCGCAATTAGTTTTGTTCACTAATTTACAGTTATAGTTATTTCATTTCATTCCCTTTTTATATAATTCGTTGCATTTTTTTTTTTTGCTTTTTTAGATTCCTTCAGCATTATCCTTGTCTTTTTCCTTTAGTATAGTTAGCGTTTCCATTTTCGCTGTTAGTTCCAATGAAAATGTCATATTGTTTATATATACTTGTATAAATGCATTTTGCTACTATTTATAAGTTCGTATATATGTAAGTATGTGATATTAGGAGGATTGATCAGATTTGTGTAAATGTAAAATATTCCAGGATTTTTTCTTGAGAAAACTAATACGATATTTTTGCACAGAAAAAAAACTTTAAGGAATCAATTTTTAAACTTAAATATTCAACATTTCCCCAAAAGTTTGAAACTTATTCTAGCTGACTTTTACCCTGATACTAACGTTCCCAAGATTTCCATTTCACCGACTGACTCTGTAGAAAGAAAAATAGTGGTTTTATTATCAAATAATTTTATTTTTTAAATATAGAACAAAAAAATCTCTAAAGTTATATTGTTCTGTAATGCGTAAGCGTGTTATATAAACTTTGACTCATTTATGCGGACAATGCCTCCAACAGCCCCATCCAAACGTGGTCAATTTTAAAGAAAATTATATTATATGAGTAAAACATTCTAAAAACGCAAAGCACCGATTGTATATCTTCTCAAGGAGTGGTTATATTTTATTTTATTTCAGCTCACTCAGATCATAAATGGATTTTTGTCGATTAAAAAAAAAAATAATACTCGGGTGACCAACTTCGAGGGATTACCCACTGATCCTAATCTGCCCACCATCACCTAGAACTGTCAATCAACTAGAAACATGTAAAATTTCATTGCGGTAAGTGACGAATTTAGAAACTATAGCGATACCAATTTGTTTATAAACGGATTCAAAAGCTCAAACGTCAGATAACATTCCTCACAAGATATTTGAACATTTTTTAATGTTCAGGTCCGATAAAAATAAAATATAGCTTTTTTAATAAAATTTATAAATCGATTTAATGCCTAAAAGTTATCATCCTAATGTATTTACCCCCCAATTATTTATATGTTCATACAAAAATGTTTATGTTGTGGATATTAAAAACTAAAATTGAAAAAAAAGAAAAAAGGAAATCTAGATCGAATTATATAAATTAAAAATGTTACTTACTGACAAAGTTTATCCAGTTCTTCTTTCTTGGCAGCACCAATTGAAAATTCTGATGTTAAATGCAACATCTCCAGCGGTTCCGCACATTTTGTGAATTCCTCTTGGCCGCACTCCTCAGCGTTGACAGTTGCCACCAATGCGAGGGCGATTGTAATTGCAACTGCAACAAAACAAAAGTTTTCGACAAATTAAAAAAAAAAACATTCATTCATACAGCCGTTTACTGTGTATAGAAAATAAAAAATGGAAAACAAGAACAGCATCAGCAACAAAGGTCCTTTACTAAATGAGAAAGTACTGCGTCTATAAAATCGCTGGATGGATGGGTGAGTGAAAGGATGGATACTGACTGTTGAGCATACTATACAGAGTAACTAGCTGACAAACGTTTCAATACAAAAGTAAAAAATAAGAAATTTCAACGCGCAATCAGCTCAACAAAGTTGAAAATGTGCACCATGGGTAATAAAAATTTTGTAACTTAAATTGGCATAACAAAATACAAAAAAAAAAAAAAAACAAAATAGAAATACAAAATCAACCGTAGTTGTTGGTAAAGATGCATCCACATGCAACCTCTGGTTTAACAGACGTAAATATCAGTTACATCTTTAAACTTATAGTTTTATGCACAAGTAGTAATGTGTGTCTTGGTGAGTGTTGAAGGCGGTTATGGGAGTGTAGCTGGCGTATTGCCTGCTGTTATATTTGGGAGTTTGGTTGACAAAAAGCGGTTAAATAAATATATTGCTATTTTTATTGCACTTTCTTGGCCAACAACAATGATAAATGGGCAAAAGTAAAATTCCAAATAGTTTATTCCGAATTTTCGCCATCGAATGCAATGACATTTCTGCCAGATGTGTCAGATACTCTAAATGTCCATTTTCACAATGCTCTCATATTCATGTACATACATATGTATATTTCTCTTTAAAACTATTTATAGTTGCATTCACATGAAAAATACTTGCAACATAAATATCTTTATATCAAAGGACATTCTAAACAGTTAATTTTTTTTATTATAGTGAGAGCTTGTCGCATTAAGTTCCTGCACATGTATCTCAAATCTGCTATGGAATAAATTAATAAGAGGGGTTAGAACAGTGATTATTTTTTTCACTAATTATCTGTGATATATATTAGATATGTACATACCATTTTGAAAGTCAAACTTCTGTAAGATCAAAAATAAATTCTATGTTTGTTTGTAAAAATTACCTAAAAACCTGCAATGATTTTGATTAGTTTTGAATTTTCATGGAAACTTAACATAATCATAAAAAATAAAAAAATTACAGCTTTACTCGCTCAAAAGGAGCAACGCAATTCAAACCAATTTATTGTATGTATGTACATTATGGTGCCCCAAAGTTATCCGCGAAAAACTTACATTGAGAAGTAATGAGTTAAAAAGCTTATAAAACCTCTTTTCACTACTTCTTCATTAGCATTTTGAGTCATTATTTTAACACGGTGATGATATTGGAGGCAAGTACTTCTACGCTCGCTTACAAATAGGCAGTTAAAGAAGTACTTGCAATTTCTCTTACAAAACAGTTGTTGCGTAAGTTGTTTTTTTTAATAATAAAAAGAGCCAGCTAGAATACGAACCAGGGACTTCGGTTTGTTAGTCAAATGTTCTACTTACTGCACCACTGCTTAGCTATGTTATCGCGCGTCAAATAATGGTTTTCACATACAAATCTAATTTTGTTTTCTTTTTTGTAAAACACAATTGTTAACACGCAATTAAAAAAATGTGCAAACAAAATGACAAAACCAAAAATAAAGTACTTCTATATCAGATTATAAGAAAGTTATTACTAGAGTACTTCTAAGTAATGCAGACGGTAAGTAGTAGACATTGAAAAGTAAGTGGCTATGGAAGTACAACCCATTACTGAGTTTTTGCTGGGTAGTTCACCATAATGTACATACATCAAATCCGAAGAAATACACTTATGCCTCTATCGGGCCTTTAGCGTGCTCTTTTAATAGTGCCTCAGGTGGGAATCGAATCCACGACCTCCGACCTACTAACTAAAAATTATATAAAAAAATACATATATTTTTTAAAAAAATATTTCAGAATCGAGACGTGACACAAGGAAATGAAAAACAGATACAAATATATTTTGCATATCAATTATTTGAATTCTATTATTTATGTATGTATATTTTTCTTAAACGAGGATTTCACTTTCGTTATAGGTACTAGGGTGATCGACTCGGCTTTTCAGCCGGTTTTAAAACCGGGTTTTTCTGCTTTACCAGTGTCGGTTTTTTCTAAATGTAGTTTTTTCGAATATCGAATAACCCATTTTTTACTTTTTAAAACCCGGTTTCGAATATTTTTATTTACTTTGTATTCAAAGATTACTTAACTTAAATTTTGAAGTAAATAATAATACAGCCCGTCTAAATTTTAAAAATATTGGAGTACAGGAACAAGAGTATATTTTTCTAATATACCTTTTATTAAACATTTTTGATTTTCCTAATTAATTAACAAATTTTATTTGTAAAATTTATTGGAATAACTGTTTGATAAAATTCATCAATTTTAAGATTATATTCCAATTAAAATAATTAATTTGCTGCTAAAATATTATGGAAGTTGGAATGCCTATGAAAATTGTCTAAACAGGGATTTTAGAATAAGCTAGGATTACATAGGTAATTATGTTTAACGGAAGTGTCCCACTTTTTCCATTTTTTTACATTAAAGAAATAATGTAAATTAGACGACTATATCTAAAGTTATAATCTTTTAAACTGTTAAAAATCAGTTAGACCATGTTTTATTAATCAAATTTAAACATAAACGTTATTTATTCAAATTAATATAGATCGGTTTTTTCTGAATTTAAAAAAATGTCAACCGTTTTTTTTCAAATATCAACTATTCGAAAACCGGTTTTTGGAAAAAGGCGAATAATCGATCACCCTGTAGGTGCATATAAAAACTTTAAAGACATAACATTTTTGAAACATGTGATCACAATTTATAAAAATGTGGTTTTATTCAAATACTAGCTATATCCAGTGTGCTTTGCTACCCTAAAAGCAATATAAATAAAAAACACACTTAACAATTTTGAAAATTCTAACTAAAATAATTTATTCGTTATTTTCTAACCCCCTTATTCATAAATAACATTTTATTTTATAAAAGGTTTATAAAACAAAATTTCCATACGAAATTTGATTTATAAATCGTTTATAGAATAAAATTGTGTTTATGAATAAGGGGGTAAATGTTTACATGAATGTCAAAGTTCTTCATGTAAAATTTGAAGACTCAGTTCTAATAGTTTCTCATATATTTTTTATTTTATTTATATGGGGCCTCCAAGCCCTCCCAGATGAAAGTCCGCTCTTTTTCCTTAAAAGTTTTCAGATGAATACTAAAGTTCTTCGTGCAAATTTTTAATAATTTAGTTCTATTAGTTTCCCAGATTAACGAATTTTAGTACATATTTTATTAATATGGGAGGCGCTCCCCTCATGGGTAGTCCGCCAATTTATTACACGAAATGTTTAACCAGATGTTAAAGTTATTCGTGTAAAATTTTAAGATTCTAACTGAAATAGTTTCCAAGATAAACGAATTTTTTATTTAATTTATATGGGAGATGCCAGGCCCCCTAATGATAGTCCGCCACTTTTTATCCTAAATAATCATATTGACACTAAAGTGGCTCCAACACAATTTGAGGACTCTAACTGTTATATTGTCTCAAATATACGGATTTTATATTTTCTTAACATGGGCGTGGCTCCTCGCCCACTTGAAATTTCAAAATAAAAAGTAGCCTATTATCTATTCCAGACATTCAGGAATACGCTGTGAAAATTTGAAGAAAATCGGTTCAGCCGTTTAGTAGTCTATAACGTTCAAACATATAAATAAACACACATTCATTGTTATATATAGAAAAAAGATTTTTAATCTTGTTCCGATTGTATTTTTTAGGTTTTCACTACTCAGAATGAAAATTAAAAACGAGGAGGAAAATATCCAACAATGCCGGGCACAAAATGCTTATGTATTTATTAAAGTACATACACATACATACATAGAATATTTACCCTATTGTTGTCTATTTATTAATGTTAACAAATACTTTTTGTTTATTTTACATTGATTGCATTGATCGCAGTTGTATGAATATGAAAATTTTATTGTTTTCCAAAAGTTCATTCAGATTTTCAACATAAAAAATATAAATAAATAACAATAAAAAATATATATTCGGCTTTGAGGAATCTTATATACCCTTCAACATAGTGTATTTTAAAAATTGTTGTTTTATTAAAACATTTTTTAAATGTTTTAAAATTTTTTAAGTATTTTTGTTCTTTATTTTTTTTTTTAATTTTAATTAAGTGAATATTAATTGTATGGACGAATTTTGCTGATTTTAAATATGAAACTTTTCGAAACCATGTTTGCTAGAATTATAAAGAATTTGCTTCCTAAAGATACCTGGTGTCGCTAGAATATTGATTTCAACAGACAGATGGACATAGCTTAATCCAGTCCCTATTTTTAAAATTCCTTAAACCTACTTTATAGGGTTTGAAAATTATATTGTAAAAATTACAAACGGAATGCTAAACTTATATACCCTTCTCACAATGGCGAAACACAGTTTTGTTTGAAGAGGCTTGACTTTAAACGGGGGAATAACGAAGAAGCATTTATATTCCGCGCAATAAATTGTAAATCAATTGTGTACGCTTATTCACTAATTTCTGTTTTTTTTTTTAATTTTTTCTCTTGTTGGATTGTGGTACTACCAAAATGTGCAAATAAAACAAATGAGTGGTTTTGTATTTGCAAAAGTAATAAACAATAGCCAAATGTACGTACACACATACATACATATACGATATCAGGACTATGTCGAGGAAGAGTAGGAGAAAAACAACTAATACATTTTAAACCAAATTCTGACTTACAAGCCTATAAACACAAATAGCACCAAATCTATTTGCCCCTATTAATTTTTTTTACGACGAAAAATATTAAAAAATTACCACAATTAAGAGTGAATTTTACTAGAAATTAAATTAAATAATAAATGAACTTTAATCGCTGACAGATGAATCCTTTGAAATAACTGTTTTCATGGATATCCATAGAGATGTCCAAAAAATA